CCCGATTCATAATCCGAATTGTGGATTCTTCGTTTAATGTTTAATAGTTTATTTGACTGTCTATATAGTAAAACACAACAAGATCGACAATGTCTGTAATTCATTGTCAATGCTGAATTAACAACTGCTGGTCAAAATTTTTGTATTTGTTTTATATTGGACAAGGGTCGTGTTTGGTGTGACAAATCAGAGACCTGTGAAGATAAAGCAAATTATAGGCTTTTATGTTGTCATTTATTTGTATGCATGATCAGTTTCTAATATGTTTACAAATGTTTAGGTTTGGGACATGTGTCTAACATGACTGGGGTTAAAAGATCTGTTTTGAAATCTGCTGAGTAATGACGTTATAGGAAGAGGAATGTGATGAAGGAGTTTTTACAATGTCTTACTATAGGTTGAGTTATAAGGGGTCATTCACAGTAAGCCAATGACATGTTATAAATAAGCCCTCATTCTGCCTCTCTACTAATTTTTATTACTATTATAAGAAACAGGAATCATGAGAGTATTTCTACCAACAGAGCAACACATAGTGACAGTAAATCCAAATCTGAAAGTGAAATATTGGTGTCTTTCGTCATCGTCTTTAAACTGAAATGACCTCAGTAGTGTTTTCAAAAGTCTCCATTTTAGGGGTCCTAAAACACAGTCAACATTGCAGAAATTATGTGTTCATAATGTAAACGTATTAGTCTTCTTTGTTTTTTAGGAACAGTCAGAAAAGCTGCATGTGTGGAGCTCATAGACCAGGCTGGGGTATGTGCAGTTAACAGGCCTGAGATGCAGCGCTGTGCCAACCACATCTGGGCTTTATTTCAAAATCAATCCTAAAAGTAACTGCCAGCCAGAATTAGTGTGATGTGCTCTTGTTTTTTTTTGTTGTTTTTTTTTGTTGGCAGCTGCAAAAATCCTAGCGGCTTCATTTTCTACTTTTACAAGAGTTGTTTTGTTTTTTTTTTTCTTAAGTGCAAGAAAGACAATCAACAGAAAGCAGAGATAAGACACGCTGGAGCTGGAGATGGATTGCTGTGATTATGTAAGGAAAAAAAAAAAGCAAATCACATAATCTGAGCCAAACCGAACTCTTAAGTCGACAAAATAATACAGCAGCGTGCGTTATAATTCCAGTTACAGCTGTGCGGCAGCGTACAGTCGGGAACGATGCTTCGAAATGAGGCTCTCCATCTCATTCGCACGTCTCTCCCTCGCGCCGTAAAGTGAGAAGCGACCGGAGAAAGTGAGAAGGGAAAAATAAAATATAGGCCTGGAGGGGGAAATCCAGGGAGGACCAGCTGCCGCACACACACACACACACACGTACACACACACACACACACACAGTTGCACACATGTTTGCAGTGTAAACAGCTGGCAAAACAACAACACAAATAGAGACGCTGGTGCATATTTTAACACAACACACAAATTACTTTATGTTCTTATCAGTTATGCATATGCGCGCGCACACACACACCTACACACACACACACACACACACACACACACACACATACAATTGGCTGCACCATCTCTATTGATCTGTGACCATAGAAACCAGCTGGCCGCAGTCAGACAGCAGTTGCTATGGAGTGTGACTATGCTGTGAATATCCTATTCTCTCTTCTGTCCAATCCCTTGTCACACACATTATCTCTGTTTTCTTTCTTTTCCTGCAACAAAACAAGGTTGTAACCCCACACCCACCCCTCTTTCCTTTCTTTTCCTTTCTTTTCTTTTTTTTTCAAATACATCTCTTATCAGCCGATCATCTCCTTCAAGCCACATCCTCCCTCCTCCAATCTGACACTGTGGACATAGAATCAGGCAGAGAGAAATAAAATGTTCCTGCAAAGATGACAAGATCTAAGCCGGATCAGAGGAGATGGAGTTTCTGTGAAAGTGTGACAGCTGGTGTGAGAGAGTCTGTGAAGGAAAGGGAGGAGAGGGAGGGAAAAAAGGGGGGAGGAGATGCTGCTGAGTCGGGCCAGTAGATGAGGCTGACTAAGAGGGGAGGAATCTTCCCTCTGGAGGTCATGTGTTTGTGTCCAGAATGCACTTTTTTATTATTAAAATTCAGCTTTTAGTCTATAAAAGTACAATAAACAGTTTATAGCACAAGTGATGGACAGATAAGGCAGCTCCGAGGCCTGAGAAGGACTGAGAAAACATTTAGATCATCTTAAGTTCATCTTAATGATTACATTTGATTGAATTTGTCCTGTATTTAACTTGTACACGTTCACAATGTCACAAACTTTTTTGTGGATTAGATTGGATTGGATTAGATTAAACTGTCAGTTATTTTATTTCAGCATTTATTAGCCAATATTGCCACCCTCTGGATCTTTGTTTAAACACTGGTCTGAGTTTCTTTAAACTTAAATTAAACTCTAACATATGACTCGTACAAAAAGATGCTGTGAGTACAGTTTTATCAGTTCACGTGCCCTGTACATGTTCATTTATTCATTCAACCAACCTTGATTTGAGTCTCAAGGGGCCATTGGGGGCATGCAGTCATTCTTAGTAATGTCTGAAGTACTAAATAAAGCAGACAACTGAGTTAAAACCAGTGAAAACACATGTTCTGCACGTCTATCACAAGTATTTAGAAAACATGATATTTACTGTAGATCTCAGTTGTGTATAAAACCATTACAGCTGTGTGTTGGGCTTTTTTGTTTTTGTTTTTGAGAGGATTAGAGGATTTGTTGGAAATTAGTAGCTTCCAGTAATTACAAAGATTGTGTATCTGGGCATTTGTATGGTCTTACAGGGTCAGGTTCAAGCGTTTAAAGCTGCACTAATGAATATTTTGTAGCTACAGATTTAGCTGTTTGCATACTTTTGTTTTTCTACTTAAAGCTAGACACTAGCCAGTCAAAGAAATGGAACTTCTAGCAGCTAAAGAGCCAGATGTTATTTTTTTCTGGAGCTGGTGGAGACCAAAGCAGAGCTAAAAGGGGACTAAATATTGGCATTTTTGGATTGAATGTTTTTCTGAAAAACTTGTTTACAGTTTGTTTTGCTGCCCCCAAGTGCCTTAAAAAAATAAATCAATGCAGCTTTGATGTCATGATTCCTGTGTGGCATAAGTTACGTTTCTGTAATGGTGTCGAACAAATTTGGAGTGTTGCAAAAAAATGTAAAAACAGAACTTTAAATTAGACTTGTTTCCACTAACTGCTTTTGACTCAGTAAACTAGGTTGTGTATTGTCATCAGAAGGTTGTGCCATAGGCTAGGTTAGACATGACTGTAATAGAAAGAGTAGAAGAAGACAGATATCAAACTAGTTGTTTGCCAGTTGCTAATTTTTTGGGTTTTTTTTAATCCTCAAAGAAGAACAGAAACTAACAAAATGTGTCCATTTGCAAGAGAAAATTGAAGAGAGGTCTGCAGGAATTGTTTTAGTTGGTTAAGTTGTAATGATTCATGGTGTCGGCCATGTTTCATGCTGCACAGGGTCTCTAGAAGCAGAATCAGCTGATCAGTCATGTGAGTAAAATATTCGCTACGTCAAAACTCATTCAGAAAAGGCGTTTCTTTTTCCCATAAAGCTCATTAACGATGATCCAAAGCAATGAAAACTGCAGATACTGATTTTATCACAGGGCTGGACAATGAGAGAGGCACACAGATTGTCTTCATCAGGTAAAAGGCACCATATGTTCACATCATATTGAGTTTGCATTTACATGACAAAGACCTCTTGTGGCTCTTTGAATAATGACAGTGTGACCTAGAGAGGAGGTCAGAATGGAGGATCCGACTGTGGCACTGAGGACTGACAGAGTTTTCTGCTAAATTCAAGATCGTGGTCTGTCTCTTAGCTCCAAGTATGAATGCAAAAATAGAGAAAGAAAACTAAAACAAAAAATAAGAACAATATTAAAAACTAATGACAGTAAAAATATGTTTCTTGGAAATTCAGTAACGTTAAATATTTTCTTCAGCATTAGAATTCATTCTTGACCTTGGGTGTATTATTTTGACAAAAACAATCCTACATTAAGGTTGTAGTTTTTCCAGAGTGGATGGATTTTTCTCAGTAGTCATAAGGATGAATCTGGTGACATGTGAGTTGAGTTCTAACATTTTCTGAGGCTCTCATTTGTGTTTTATAGGCATCATCACTGGATGGAGTTTGCTCTGTTGTCATGGAGATTAGTGACAACTTGTTATCTGATTAATCGGGCTGATAATATAACATTTTGATGTAATTGGCATCAGCTTATTTACCATGAAAACAGCTAACAGGGGCTACACTGGGTTGGTCTTTGCTGGCTACTGGGACCTGGCTACTTGCTGCAGAAAATTAGATGTTTTTCCGGGTACAGAGTTGGGAGGACAGTTCAGTCTCACCTGTAATGGCAAATGGTCTGCACTTATATAGCACTTTTGTCCAAAGCGCTTTACAATGTGTTTCTCATTCACCCATTCACACACATTCATACACCAATGGTGACAGAGCTGCCATGCAAGGTGCTGCCTGCCTTTGGGAGCAACTTCAGGTTCAGTGTTTTGCCCAAGGACACTTCGACTGTGGAGGGGCCGGGGATCGAACCGCCCCATCGGACAACCCGCTCTACCACCTGAGCCACAGCCACCCACTACAAGTATTGTTGTCAAAGAAGGCAGAAGGGGAGCGAAACATGTGGCACACTAATTTAAAATTAGTTTTATTTCATGTGAAGATTTTTGAGAAGTTCTTGTATTACGTTTTTACTGAGAGTCTCCTTAAAGCTCTGACAGACACTGAAATCCACAGATCACATGAAAACAGGTGTGACTCGTTTAAATGAGTTCAAATGTCCTGCTGTGTTTTGGTTTTAATCCTGAGGATGCAGCACAGGCAGCTCAGTTTTAGAGTGCTATTTGCCAAACTTTTCTTTTTTTTATTCCACAGGACTGCTGCCCTCCTAACAGCCATCACTGATTTGTAAAGTGTTACAGATGGGATGTGGATATTGATCTCATTCTGCTGTTATTTGGCAGATTCCCGAGCGGACCGAGCTGACAGGCGGAAGCTCTTCAGACACTACACTGTGGGCTCCTACGACAGCTTTGATGCCTCTAGGTAAGACCTCACGCTGACACGCTGTCCTCAAATCCACCATCAGGTCCTCTGTGTGTGTAAACAGGCGTATTACATAATGCCAAAAAGTAATGAAAACAAAAATTTAATCTTTTTAATCACGTTTCTGTCTGTTTTTGTAGCCAAAATATTTCTAATCTCATGGGTCAAATGAAATCTACTGTATGTACAAACAGAAAATTTGCGTACTAATCTACTACTTCTCTTTATATCTGGTATCCACAATCAGCTTTAGGTAGCTTTCCTTTGCTTTGTTCTTCAGACAATGCAAAAGCCGTAGTAGCAAAAGCAGATTTAAGATGCGGCCGTGTCTTTTAAGCTAAGTGAAAAGTTTTGTCTAATGCTACCTGACGTTGAATCCCAAGGTTTTTACCGTCTTGTTCTTAAGTTATTCCGCTCCACTCTCCTCTCCTCCTCTCCGCTGTCACATCCACTTCAATACAAGCTTCATTAGAAATGAAGATAGATGTATACTCCTCTGTTTATATGTGTGTGAGAGCAAGAGAGCTGAATATATTCTCCGATGAGAACAAATCCTGCTTTAAAGAATCAATCACAGGGGTGAGATGGATGTCCTTGCAGGAACATTTATATTAATGAGCTCCGGGTGGCGTTTGATCACTGCAGGTCATCTGTCCAGCGTCATCAGACATTCAGCGGTTTGTATGGCCCAACATTTGCAGTGATTTTTACAGCGACAGGGAAGTGGCCAGCAGTATGTGCCAAGGCTGAAGTTATGTCCTTCCTCAATCTGGCCTGGAGAGGCAGATATTGTAGCACTTACAGAGAATGAAATGTTTGTGCCAGTAAGAGATGAGTAGTCTGTCATATTACGTGGACGTTGTGCTGGTTGTTTACTGTTAAAAATTCAACAGATTTTATTTATTTATAGCTGTAGAACACTTGATATCAGGTCTTTTCACTAATGCTTCTCATAAATATCTGTAATCTTTCTATCTATTGTTCAATCATCAATTGTTCGGGCTATAAAGAAAAGAGTAAAATAATACACAAGATGAGAAAATATTAAGTTGGCAATTATCTAAAACAGAGAAGAATCTTAAATTGGAAATAACTTTAACAATTAGTGATTTGAAAGTTGTTGTGGGAATGTCTGGTAGCATTTAAACCCAGTTTTGTGTCTAAAAACAGCCTCACATGTTTCAGAAATGTGGAAAAATCTACATTCTTGATTCCACATTTACTACAAAGTGGTTCAGTGGAGCAAAAATGAGCTCACTTGGTATTTTTGTGATTCCTGAATTAATACAAGCACCGCAGCTCAGACATGTAAAGCTACAAAAACTTAAAGAAGAAATCAGCCATTTTTTGATAAAGTTTGTTGATATTTTAGCTCAACAGCCAAACAAATGCTAGTGCTCCTTAAAAAGCCTCACCACCCCAAATGAATGGGGTTAGGACACTAACAATCAGGATAGCAGACCAAAACAGAGAGCAGTTCCAGCCTTATAGACATGGAAGCGGATTTCATTTTCTCATAAATAAAGCAAAAGAAACTTTTGGAAGCTGATAAGATTCAGTTATTTGGATTATTTTTATCAGCCATCAGAACCATAGAGCCGACTAAAGACCCTAACCTTCCTCCTGCTGTAACAGTTGCTGTGTAAGAAGAGAGAATGTGAGTCTCATCTGTGTTTATGAGCAAAATATCAGAGCCTAGTGGTGTTGAAACTGACTTCTTACTGCAGGTTTTGGTTTGAAAACAGGAGCGTTTGCTGGTCGTGCTGCACAAAAAGCATCCACTATAAAATAGTAATAATAATAATAATGATAAATGGTACCAGTGTTCTCAGAATTTACCCAATCCTCTGGAAAACATGAATTCATTCATAGAGCCATCCTGTACACAAACACAAATATTCCCAGTTGCCAATTGACAAGGATAGTGTAGTGGGGATCTGAGCCAAGGCAGTGTACACCACATATACTGTAAGCACACACAGAAAGAACAGCTAATGTTATTCTATAATAAATATATATCCTCTACTTTTGGCAGAAAGTGTATTGGATTTAAATTGCATACTATTCCTTTTGATTTCAGTTCAATTCAGGGTGCATTTATTTATATATCAACGTAAGTGCTGATCCACAAACAGTTGCTTTATTTCCATCTTCAAGAGAGTTGACAATGAGGTAGCAACAACATTAACTAACTAAAGATGTAAAGATACCTTTTTTTCATGTCACTTTTGCAGTTTGCAGTGGACATTAACTGTACTTTAACCTGCTGTGTACCTGTTGATGTGGCTATTGTGACTGTACGGGTCACGTTAACTCTGCTGTCTTCACTTCCACGGTACAGATTCAGGGAAACAGTGTTTAACAGGGCAAACAGGAAGAGCTCCCTGCAGCTTTCTGAAGAGAGCAGATTTTGATTTTTACATGACTCATTTTAAACATTTGTTTTCAGTCTGACTGAAAGAAAACACAGAAGTCGTACAGAGCAGACGTATTTCTGACTGCCTTAGCTTTTACTGACCTGAGCATTTGCTCTGACAGGTCTTTTCTTCCAGGTGATGTTGAGGAGGTGAAACACCATCTCCAGGATGTTTATCGGACCGGATTCATAAGTTCCACAGCAGGGATCACTCTCTAAGATTTTCCAAGGTCTCACTCTTTGCAGCAATAGTTTTCCTCCTCAGTAAGAGCAGAAACACCATCAGTTTCCAGATGTACACTGTCTTTCAGGACATCCTGAAGTCCTTCTGCCTCCATCTCTACAGTGACAGTCAATGGCTGGAGATCTGATGCAGAATCTTCTTTTCAGGCATCTAATTTCTGTGTTTAACTTTGGTCAGACTGAAAACAAAAATTTCAATGATTAATGTAAGAAATCTTTGGAAAGCTGCAAGGAGCTCATGCTAATTGCCCCACTAAATTCCCATTACAAGCTGTTTTCTGCGACTTCTCATTACTGGCATGTCCCACAAGACGCAACAGACACATTAACAGGAAATACAGCAGACTGAAATTAACCAAAATCTTTTAGAAGTACCTGAGAGTTACTTTAGGTTTCAAAGTACTGCACTTTATATACTTTTGCTCAACGAAGAGCTAAATGTTGTGCTTTTTGCCCCACTGCATTAATCAGACTGTCATTGTTCCTTTTGTGTCATCTTTCTCATATGGAAATCAGTCCCATATTTTTGGCATCTGAAGAGCCTCTTTAAGGTATATTTCCATTCCACTGTTGGCCTTTTTAATAATTCAGACCTTACATGTTGACAGCATTTCATCAGCTAATGGAAGGCTCGAACATATTTCCACAACAAGGTAATGAATCTGAAGTCTGTCCAAGCCTGAAACACTTGTTTTCAAGATTGTTGGTTTGGCAAGTCCTCTGTATTTGCAATCAAAACTAATAACCTACGCTCATATATCTAAATCTACACAACAAAGAGGGAAATAGTGACTCCATACAGCTGCCCCTATGTCATTTTTTAATTCACTACACTGCTCACTGGTAATATCCGCTCCACGCTCTAATATATAAAATGTGTAAATGTCTGTGGTGATGAGACCATGAAGGACAGCGTGACATTTCCCTCATTACTCTGCTGGATTTCTTCCGGCAGGACTCAGCGAACATGCCTGAAGATTTTTTTTTTTTCCAGCAAGTACCTAATATGGGTCAAGGTGAACCATTTCCACCATTCATTACTTTACAGTGATGAAGACTAGTTGGCCAAATGTGAACTGTGGGATGGACTGAAGGCCCATGTGACATTAAAGGTCCATGGGAAATCTCAGCTGGAAATTAAACTTGAACCTGAATATAGACTGAGCTATGACAGTTTAAAATGTTGTCCTCCCTGATGGAGGGGCATTGTAACTAATATTTTCCCTCTACCTTCAAAGATTGCGTTTTCTTTCTTTCTTTTTTTTTTTTTTTTGGAAAGCTGACTTTTCTAAGGCGCTCACATCAAGTCCCTCTATGCTCTTTAAAAATTCATATTTGTTTTTAACTGGCAGAGGGTCCCATTAAATTCTGCATGAGGCAGGAGGAATTTTCCTGCTCTGTGTGTTTATGGGCAGGAAGAAGGTGCTGCACAAATTAAACTAAAAGATGAACTGAGCTGTAGGTGGCACAAAATACCACTGACACTCACCAACGTTACAGTAGATATATCTTCAATATGAGAGACTATCATTTAGAAGCAGGATGTGGAAAGAGGGAGTATGTTTAATTGGATAATGAAGAATAGAGAACAATGACAGAGATAAACTATACATTTGTATTGATATGTTGAATCTGTCTTCTTTGTGTTTGTTATATATTATGTATAATTATCCGGTAAATTTGAAACAGACTGAAATCTCTCAAAAAATAATAAAATAAATATTCAGAGTCAGACAAGCCACATGACCAGATGTTTGCCATCCCCCCCCAAAAAAAGAAAGCAAAGAAAACTGGAGAGGAGTCTTCAAAGTCTTCAGGAATTGTTTTAAATCAGTAGAGTTGTAGTTATTCTTTCTTGTTGTCCGGAGACAACAGAAAGAGGTAATTAGACATGTGACTTTAATGTTCCCAATGTCACAAAAAGTCCAAAACTACCTTAAGTGAGTAAAAAAATTATATATTTTTTAAATTTTACCATTTCAAGTAACTTGTTGTCATGTAGTTCTTCAAAATATACATAAAAATACATTATGTAAACATGGCTATTGTCATGCTATCAGAATTAAATGTAACTGTATGTCCCTAAACTCAGAAGTCACTTGATCTGGTACCTCAGTTAACACTTTCCTGACACGTTTATGGTCTTAATCTCTAGTTTAAAGTTTTCTTCAATCCAGAATGATATGCCTTTATTGAATGATGGTCCCGCTTGGTGGAAAATAGACAACAAAGCAGTGTTAGTAATTGACAAGTTGCTACAATTTAGGAGTGTAAAGGGTTCAGAGCTACCCCTCACTCATTACATCTGGTTTCAGTGTCGATGCTGATGGCCAAATTCTAA